AATTTTTTTTTTTTCTCTCCTGGATAAAACCTTTGGAGCATGCATTTTCTTGACTAGTGTTTCTGAACTAATCCCCAGTTATGGATATTTTAAAGGGTTCGAGGGACTCACGAAATAACTTGGTTTTGAATACAGTGCATTTCTTTCCATTTGATCCCAAATGACCTAAGAACATATAGAGAGAAGGATTTCTGTAGAGACTTAGGCACAAAGCCATCGCTGTGCTGTTCGATTTGTTCCTGGATGCTCCGATGTTAAGTTCTAAGTAGTGATTGGCCAGGTCCCAGCACTACTCCAGGGAGCAATTGGGCTTTGCCCTATAGTGGAAGACCCAACACCCACCCAGAACAACAGTGTCTAAAGACACAACAGGCACTTTCCCTCCCCCTTTTTTTTTCTTTTCTGGAAGTCTCTGCTGCGTTAAAGGGCTTTGTTTTCAGAAATTCCCTGCCCCTCCCTTCCTGGATCCATACATACCCATGCAAGAATTTTACAATAAGGAAATGCTTTTAGTTGTTTTTCTTTTCTTTTTCTTTTTCTCTTTCTTTTTCTTTTTTTGTTTTTGTTTTTGCAAAGAGAAAATGGAAGCTCATTTCCACCTGCCAGCCCAAGAGGCTCAGTCTGGCTAATTGGCATTAAGAATTTTGCACCTAACTCAAATGAACATTTTTAGAGATGAGAATTAAGCATATAGGCATTGGCAGGAAGGTGGGAAGGAGATTCGTAGTCAGAATGCCCAGGTCAAAGAGACAGCTCTGCTATTGACCAGTGTCAAACCTTGGCCAATCTTAATCCCTCTAAGCTTTGGTTTTCTTCCTCAGTTAAGTGAAATTAATACTACTACCTGCCCTGGCTTCAATCCTCCTAGGGTTTGATACATTGAGGAAAGATTGTGATCATGTGGGTGAATAGGCATTCCACACTGAAAAGCATATGTAAGCAATTAGTTCTTATTAACAAGCTGAGTATATTATCTAATTGCTTATAAACACATGCTGTGGGTACTCATGGTCTGTCATCGGGTAAAAAACTTTGCTCCTGCTGGGTACAAATTTGTGCATAATCCTTCCACGGAAGGAGAGAAGAAAAATAACATTTACTCAGCGACCAGTACCATCCAGCCCCTTTCATATCTATACTATAATTGAATTTACATCTATATTAAAATTCTATACAGTTGACCCTTAAACCACACAGGTTTGAACAGCATGGGCCCACTTGTATGCAGATTTTTTAAATATAAATACAGTGCAGTTTACTGTAAATTTATTTTCTCTTATGCTCTTCTTAACATTGTCTTGGTTTATTGCATTAATACACTGTATAATACATACACAGAACATATGTGAATCAACTGTTTATGTTGTCCATGGGTTTCTGGTCAACAGTGGGAAATCTCTTAGTTAAGTTAGTTAAGTTTTGGGGGAATCAAAGTTATATGGCTGTGAAGGGGTCAGCGCCCCTACCCTGGTGTTGTTTGAGTCAACCATATCCCATTTAGTTACCTGAAAATCTGTTTAGTTTCATTCTCAGACGAAGGAAGTTGAGATACAGAGATATTAAATGTTACTTGGCAGTGCTTCCCCACCTCTGTTCCCTGAAATCCTAATCGTGAGCAATACTTCTTTATCAAAGAGTTCTATGGTCTAAAACTTTGAGAAGTTTTATATCCTTTCCCCCCTTCCAGATTCAGGGTGTATGATACCATAATGGTAACCGTGGAAAAAGTGCTGTATATAGTAAAGAAGACTGTTTTGGTAAAGGAACCTTTCACCTTTGCACAATTCAGGGTTCTCCAAGCTTACTTGATCTGTAGACTCTATTTTCCATCATACTTAATGAAAAGTTGATAAAATTGGGATTCTACAGAAAACATTTTCCCAAACGCAGATCCGAATTCATGACTGGAGGTAGTATGAGGTAAATCTGCAATCTAGAACACAAACCTGTCCTCTTTAAAAGATATTCTCACCCTCTACCCAAATGGTAGGAAAATAGAGGAGGTCAATCATTAAATTTTATTATTCTATATCTACTATTAAATTTACCAATATTATCATTTATGTTTTTTTCATTTTTCATTACTTTTTAGTTGTAATCATAGTATATTTTGATTTTTGTCTTCTAATTCTTTTATTGTAGTAAAACGTATATTACCTAAACATTTAGCACTTTAACCGTTTTTAAATATACAGTTCAGTGGCATTAAGTACACCTTGTCGTGCAGCCACCCCTACAGTGCATCTCCAAAATGTTTTCATCTTCGCAAATCAAAACTTTGCACTGTCTTCTTTTTTTACCCAGCATTTTATCATATGTATTTTCCCATGTTGCAACGTGCTCCTTTTTTAATAACCATTATTTCTAGTGGCCGTGAGATACTCTATCTAGATAATGTTCATGAATCTGCCTGCTGTTGAATATTTACATGATTTCCACTGTTCTCTTTTGATAATGACAAATATCTTTGTGTATATAACATTTTCCATATTTTGGATTATGTCCTTAGAATAGCTAATAGATTGAAGAATACAAACATTTTAGTGATTTTTAATGCATGTTGACTAATTTTTTCTAAAAGTCATACCAAATTCATACTTCTCCTATGGATTTATTGATATATTCCTTCATTCTATCTTCTGTGAAATAGAGATCTAGTAAGTTCTAAATACCTGCCAAATAACTTAGTGGGAGACAAACATACTCTACTTAAAGGATTTCAACCCATTCTGGCCAGCATTAGTTATTATGGCCAGCATTCATGACACCTAAGGACAAAAGGACTGATTTACTTGTCTGAAAGTTTTATTTTATTCCTTTGACTTTTAGAGAGTTGTTCTTGCTGGTTTGCTGATTCCTTTTGAGAATTTCCTTGCCTTTCTTTGTTTCCCCTCACCCACTTTCTACTCCTATATGTGCTGATGACCAAATTAACCTCTACTCTTGCTTCCTCACTTGTCAAAAGGGAGTAATAATTTTACCAATGTCAAAGGACTGTCCTCAACTCATTGAGACACTATGTATCTTAGGTCAGTGCCAAGCACATTTTAAGCGCTCTGTAAATATTACCTGTTATTACTTCCAGGATAGATAAAGTGAAATGAATCTTCTATCAGTTGACCCAAGGAATAGGCAAGGTAAGAAGGGTGTGTGTGGACTTCCCGCTGGTACCATATGTCAATTTTTTTCAAGCAAGCATTTTATGTGTTTAAACCAACAAATCTACCAGGTTATGAACTCCCTTCATCTTTCTTTCAAGAATGGAAGAACAGGTGAATTAGTATATGGATGGTAGGTTTTTGTTTGTTTTTCCTGATGCATATTCCTGCTGAAGTTTTTTTTACAAAGTTTTTCTAACACCAAAAAAAAAAAAAAGAAAGAAAAGAAAAAGAAAAGAAAAGAAAAGAAAAAAAGTGTGCCTTTCAGGTTTTTTTTTTCTTTAGGATTTAGGAATGTTCCTCAAAGAAATAGGAACAGTGATGTCTGACCAGTTATAGGTCAGTGAGTGGAAAAAAATTCTTTTACCCTGCACCCTAAGGAAAAATTACTTTTATTGTGCTGAATTGGATTGACAAGCGTTGGGCTAGTCAGTGCACTAATGAGCCAGCCAGAAGACTCCAAATTCTGTTTAATCAAGCTCCTACTCTTAGCAAAATTTTTAAAAAGTCTTTTTCTTCCTGATTTTATGTGTGTCTATCTATCTATCTATCTATCTATCATCTATCTATCATCTATGTATCATCTATCTATCTCAAGTTCTATCATAAACTTGGTCATGAACAGCATATATTTAATTTGTACAAAGGAGGAATATATGGCTCGGTAAACACATTTATATGAATGTCCAATTGAATTTCACATGGTCTTGTTTACAAAGGCTAAATAAAGGCATCTGAGTACCTGACAGATGTCCATCCATAGATGGTTCTGTCGTTCCAGCCACTGCAAAGACGACGTTAATCCTCAATAAAAAGTATTTATTCAGTTGTGACCACGTCTATTTTATTGGGCAGTTTCCAAAAAAAAAAAAAATGAATATGATGCGCACCAAACCGTCTTTTTTTTTTTTTTTTTTTTACGGAAGCGAGTGAATGTGGCATATGGTGGAACCACTTCAAGCTGCCGAGGAGCTAGCAAACTGTAACATACTTTCCTGTCATAATATAGCATCGTTTCTTCCTCCGGTTCAGATCCTCAGTTGCCGTTTTCGGCGTCAGCGCCAAGTCCTTGCGTTAGAGCCCTGGGTCTGAGGTCTCTAACCGGGTCTTAGCCGCGGGGCTCGGCCGCTTTCCCACGGGAGCCCACCTGTGCGCCGGCGAGCGAGGAGCCTAACCCGGGGTGGGGGGGGGAGGGGAGAGGGGGGAGGGGTCGCCCCCGCGGGAAGAGGCGGGGCGGGGGGGGTCAGACCTCGGGCCGCGAGTGAGGGGAGGGGAGGGGGAGACGCGCCCGTGGCGCCCCCTGCAAAGTTGTGCGACGTTTATTCCAGCCCAAGTTTTATTTCTCCGGGATGGGGACCCACGGGCGGCCTCCGGGGTGGGTGTCCCGGCCCCGCGGGTGGCCGAGGAGCCGAGAGGCGCCCCCGGGGGCGCGGGGGCTGCGGCTGCAGCTGCGGCTGCGGGGCGCGGGGACCCGAGGCCAGGCCGCCGCGCGGGCTCCGGGCTTTGTCCGCGCTCGGCCTCGGAGGTCCGGCCCCTCGGCTCCCCGGGACCCGCGCGCGGCGCCCGGATTCGCGGAGCGGGGCCGCCGCGAGCCGCGGGGAACAAAGGCGGCGGCGGGGGGCGCGGGGGGGGGGCGCAGGGGGGGCGCGCGGGGGGCGCAGGGGCGAGGCGGGAGGGGGAGGCCGGCGCCGCGCCCGCCCGCATTCCTCCCGAGCTCCCGGGGCCCGCGGGCCGACGTCACCCCCGGCTCCGCCCCCGTCCCTCCCCGAGCAAAGTAACTCCTGGCTCCCGGGAGCCGCCTCCGCCGAGCATGGAGAGCTGCCGCCGCGGCCGGCCGGCGACGCGGGCGCCCCGGGGCTAGTCGGGCGGGCGGCGGGCTCCGGCACCGGCACCGGCACCGGCGGGCGGCGGGCGGAGGGCTCCCCGGGGCCCCTGCCGCCCCTGGCCGAGCGGCTTCAAACTTCTCCCAAAGTCGACATGGATGCGGCGGCGGCGCTGCCCGTCCTCGCGGCGCTCTCGCTCGCGGCGCCCTGGTCCCCCCTGGGGTCGGCCCGCGGCCAGTTCTCGGCAGGTGAGGCGCGCGGGGGGCGCGGGGAGGGGCGCCAGGAGCCCGGCCCGGAGCGCGCGGGGGGCGCGGGGAGGGCGCGGGGAGGGCGCGGGGAGGGCGCGGGGAGGGGCGCGCGCGGGGGCACAGACGCGCCCCAGAGTTGGCGCGGGCGGGGCGGGGCGCGGGGCGCTTCCACCTCCGCGACCCTTTGTCCGGCCGGGCGGCCGGGGCGGGGGGCGGACCCTGCGCTCCCGGGCATCGGGGTCCCCGCGCGGCGCCGGGGGAGACGGAAGGGAAAGTACTTGGGACTGCGGGGACCGCCGCTCCGCTCGCCGCGCCGCTGCTGGCCGGACACCCCAGGAGCGTGCAGGGGGGGAGGGGGGATTTTTTTCTTTTCTTTTTTTTTTTTTTTCTTCTTTTCCCCGGGAAGCCATTATCAGAAACGTGGAGACTGGAAGCGGCTGACCCCGGCGCGCTGTGCCAGGTGCTTTTTGGCCCGGGAATAACCTCCCGGGACCATTGTGTGCCTACTTCCCCGTCCCCCCTCCCCCCTCCCCCCGGCCCGGCCTCTCTCCTCCGCCCGCGCCGGCGGCGCCGTCTGCCCCGCGTGCACCGCGTCGTGACCGAGGGCCGCGAGCGCCCACGCCGAGCCGCCCCGGGCAGCGGGTCCGGGCGACGGGGGCTGCGGGAGAGGCCACCCCGGGGCCGGCAGCTGGGCGCGTGGGCCTCTTGGCGGAGCCGCGGACTGCGCACCTTGCGCCCCCCCCCCCGGGGCGCTGAAGTTTCACCAGGTGGACGCGGGGCGGCGGGCTCCGGGCTCCCGGGCGCCCCCCGCGGGTCCCCACAACTTTCCCGGCCCAGCGCGGTCGGGGAGCGCGCCTGCTGCCCGGCGGGGGCGGTGCGGGGGGAGGCGCCGCGGGGCGCGGACGACCCCGGCAGGGCGGCGAGGTGGCGGCCGCCCCGGTACCCGGAGCAAAGTCCGCTCGCGGTGATGGGAGCGGGCTCGCTTTCCCGGCAGCCCGTCCCGCGCCGCGGCCCCCCACCCAGGGCTCGGGCGGCTGCAGGCGCGGTGCCCCGGCGCGTGCAGAGCCACAGCCGTGCGCCGTGGCGGGGGCGCGGGACGGCGGCGCCTCGCGGGATCCGATGGCCTGAGCTGCGGCGCCGCGTCCTCTCAGCCCTGCTGCCGGCCGCCCGGAGCTGCACCCGCGCTGCTCTCAGGCTGTAGATCCGCGGCTCCGAGTGCTTAGGTGCCGCGCTGCTCCAGGTCCCTAGATGCGGTGCTGCTCTAAGTGCATAGGTGCCGTGCTGCTCTAAGTCCTTCCATGCAATGCTGCTCTTAGTGCTTAGGTGCTGTGCTGCTCTAAGAGCTTAGGTGCCCTGCTTCTCTAAGTCCTTAAATGTGGTGCTGCTCCATGTCCCTAGATGCAGTGCTGCTCTAACTCCTTAGGTGCCATGCTGCTCTAAGTCCTTAGATGCGGTGCTGCTCTTAGTGCATAGGTGCCGTGCTGCTCTAAGTCCTGAGATGCAATGCTGCTCTAAGTGCATAGGTGCCGTGCTGCTCTAAGTTCTCAGATGCGGTGCTGCTCTTAGTGCTTAGATGTGGTGCTACTCTAAGAGCTTAGGTGCCCTGCTTCTCTAAGTCGTTACATGCGGTGCTGCTCTAAGTGCTTAGATGTGGGCACGTTAGGGTGCTGTTGGTTTCCGGACAGTGTGTGTTGCCAGCGCTGCGAGCCCCCGCTCCACCCGGCGTGTAGTTTGCTGATTGAAACTTTGGCTTCTACCGGTTGCGAGCTGAGCGGTTCCTGTCTTCCAGGGTTGCCGCTCTCTGTGTCGCAGCAGCTGATGGCTGTATTTTCAGCAGTAGAGAAACTTTCGTATTTCTTGTTTCGAATGTTATTTACCCTTTAGTGAATCTTAGATTTCCTCCAACAGAACGTGCAGATGGGCTTTAATGAACGGCCCGGTGCTTGGACACGCAGGTCTCTAAGTAATTTAAGCAAACGTGCCGGGCTTTGCTTTAGTGACAAAGCAAAACATTTCACATTATGTTATGTTAGAGGTAGGGGATGTGCAGTCCTCATAAATGCCATTCTTGCAGGACCATATCGGGTAAATTTTGCCATTCAGGATTTACATATATGCCCAGATAGGAATGTTTTTTATCCCCCCCTGGTTTAAGGTCAGATTTGTGAATCTGCTTTTCTCCACACATTGAAAGTTTTGTGAACATTGTCACGTTCTGATTATCCTAAACCATTCAGTATCCTACTGTCATCAGATTTCAGGGCAGTCAGATTGATTGCAAATATATAGAGAGGTTGGAGTTGGATTCTTTCTTGCTCTTTTTTTTTTCCTGGATTCTACTTTAAATAATGAACTTTTGTTTTGAGAAATTTCAGTATAATGGTCTAAAAGACCAAAACAAATATATGTTTGGAATTTTTAAATATCCTCTTAAATCATATCCATTAAGGCTAGTTTACCACTTTTAGATATTATCATGTGGTTTCTAATGTAGTACACTTCAAAAGCAAATTTTGAAATACTAAAGATTCTTGGATGTGTCATATACTCATCAGTATGCTTTGTTTATTTTTTATTTTTATTGTTTTTTTAAGATTTTATTCATTTATTCATGAGAGATGCAGAGAGAGAGAGGCAGAGACAGGCAGAGGGAGAAGCAGGCTCCCTGCTGGGAGCCTGATGTGGGACTGGATCCTGGGACCCTGGGGTCACGGCCTGGGGTGAAGGCAGGCGCTTAACCACTGAGCCACCCGGGGGCCCCAATATGCTTAGTTTAAACCACAAATTAAAGAGTATTTTTATCATTGTGACTTTTTCCTTAAGTTTTGGAATTAAAGTGTAAAATGCTGCATGGTGAGCCTCCTTAAAACCAGAACAGCCTATAAATATCAGCCTGTGTTATTTCAGCTTCATCTTTCGCTTAAAACGATTCCAGTACTATCATATCTGGGGAAACTGAGGCACAGATGCACAAAGATGCACCGGCACTCACGGGGTTGTGCGGCTGTTATCTTTTGATGCGACAGCGCAAGATGGTTTTCTGTGCGGGGACTCAGGTGACTGACAGACCAGTCACAGAGAAGGAACTTGGGCCTCGGCTTTGTCATCTGTACAGTGGGAGTAATACTAATCCCCATCTACACCTTTCCACCTGGTGTTATGAGGAGCGTGTGGGATGATCCACGTGAGGGACCCTGGGCCCTGTGGGTGGTAAAGCTCCGCACTGTCCGGCTGCGGTCGCCCTGCATTAAGGCGGCCCCGACTGTGGGCTCCCTCGCTCACCCCACGCCCGCCTGTCGCGGCAGCCGTTGGGCGTTTGGGGGTGTCTTTACCTGACCAGCCGGTCACCGTCGTGGTGGTGAGCGGGGGCCTAGACTGGCCATGCGGGGACGTGGGCAGCGCGGGGAGACAAGTGACCCCTGACGAGGTGTTTGGCTCTGCTCCGCTGGCCTCCTGCGGGTGGCTACGGGGCTGTGCGCGTGGCGGAGCTGGCACCCGCGACCTTGGTCCCGTGAGGGGAGAAGAGGCGCGTGGCCGGTCTGCTGGGCGGGGTGGCGTGGTGGGCCTTGCCAGCAGCCAGGGGAGGACACTGTCGCGTCTGGGCGGTGCCCTCAGTGCCCGGGGCGGGCCACGGGGCATGGGCATGACGACGGTGGGGACGGTGGCTCTGTGAGCCCGTGCTGCCCTGGGCCCGGGTCGGGCCGCGCCTGTGAACAAGGCCACCGGCATCCCCGCGGTCCCCAAGGTCCAGTCCGTCCCCGTTGTGCTTCCTGCCTCCGGGGGAGGCCTCCGCTCCTTCTCCGGCCTTGGCTGACCTGCACCGCTCGGGCCCTCGGTCGGTTGAAACTACGGACTGTGGCGCCGGCTGGCCGGGGCCTGGACACTCCCAGGCCCGGTGTCCCCTCCCTGTCCCCCCCCCGCCCCCCCCGCCTGGCTCTGCTGGTTTTCCTGGACGCAAGGCGTCCCTTGGCCCGGGTCTCCCGGAGGAGGCAGGTCGGGCTGCTGCTGGGCGCTGGCCCGTGTGCTGCTCATACTCCCTGTGTCCCCTAGTGCCAGCTGGACAGCGGGTCCCCCCTTGCCCCCCCCCCCGCTGTGCCCGGTGACCACAGAGCCCCCAGCCCAGAGGGCAGCCCCTCTGTCCGCACCCATGTCCTCGGGGCTGGACGTGTCCTCAGGGGCTGGAAATGGGATTCGGCTGCGGCCCAGAGCGGGCGCCGGTCGCCCCGTCACGGCTCATCCTTCTACACATTTTTTGTGGCCTTGAAAACACATTTGATCCCTGGGAGGGGACCCCCCCACAAGCGATCCGTGCGTTGCCTCCCGGGCCCCCTGAAGCCCGGGACTCGGTCCCTGGAGGCTGTGTCGGGGCCCGTGTCCAGTGTGCCCAGCGGCCAGAAGCTGGCAAGGCTGCCCCTGTGCGCCCCGCGCTGTCCCCGCCTCCGCTCGTTCCTCACCCCGCGGGCCGGGGAGAGCTGCAGACCAGGGCACTGAGCACCAGGAGAGTTTCCAGCTTGCTCTGAAGACAAAGAACCCTAGGATTCTGCGTGTGTGTGTGGGTGTGTGTGCTGTGCGTTTGATCTTTGATTTAATTTTCCAAAGAGGGGAGAAAAGCTCCTTATTTTTGAGTTGTTTATTGGAGCCAGCCTTTGCCTCCGTCCAGACGCATTCATTTCTCATTCTGTGGATGCAAGAATCTCCCTCCGTGGATGCCTCTCAGACTCTATCCTTTGATCAGCTGTATTTGTTTTGTGTTCTTTTATCAAATGGTGTTTCTCTTTGCCTAAAAAGGTTATAATTGCTATTGAACATGACTTGTTTCTTCACCCAAACTCATGCTTGTTTGTCATAGTTGCCGAGTGGTGGGGTCTCCCCGGTTCGCCGTGTCTTAAACTGGTACTTGCTAACCTATTAAGTGAGTACATCTGTCCTCCAGGCTAATATTAATTTTAATGGAAGCCAGAGATAAAGTTGTAAATCCCTGAAATGGTATTTTAATGTCA